GTCGTAAAGTAAAATAAATAAGTAATTTAAATAAATTTTAAAAAAAGAACAATATACAGTCACCATGTCCAAATATTCTTGCATTACTGAGGAGAAAAATAAATTGTGTATAGCTCTCAGTGGACTCTAGGAATGTGTCACTGTGAGTAGCACAAAGAAAGAGTTTAAGAACACTGAGAGGGTGTGACTGAACCTAGTTTGGCTAGACACTCCAGTATTATAGGCATTGATAATATGAGTAATGGCAGATGCCAAAGACAGCCTGAACGAGGATTTGAAAATATCTAATGAGCTATAAGGAATATGGATTTTGCTAAGGTGTCATCATGAAAATGTCTTAAAGTTGTCTTTCCACTCTGGAATGAAAGCCAGAGGTAAACCAGAGAATTAGTGTGTGCTGACACAAATAGTCATTCTCAACTTCCTAAAGCTTGGAGTCCATTCACAATGGCTCATTGGCTCTACCAGAGAATGCAATGGCAACCCACTTCAGTACTCTTGCCTGGAAAATCCCATGGACGTTGGAGCCTGGTAAGCTACAGTCCATGGGATCGCTAAGAGTAGGACAGGACTGAGCAACTTCACTTTCACTTTTCACTTTCATCCCTTGGAGAAGGAAATGGCAACCCACTCCAGTGTTCTTGCCTGGAGAATCCCAGGGACAGCGGAGCCTGGGTGGCTGCCACATATGGGGTCGCACAGAGTCGGACACGACTGAAGTGACTTAGCAGCGGCAGCAGCAGCATTGGTCCTACTTAAATAGCTACAGTGCTGGCTAAAGAGATTGCTTTAGAACCCCTACACCTGTCTAGTCCAGCTCTCTAAGTCATAGAGGAGCAACAAAATGGGAATAGAGGAGAGTTAAGTCTAAGTCAGTGAAAGTTGTCCGTGAAAACAATTTTTCAAAAAGAGGTTCCAGGAAAGTGTGTTTTCAGAATGTAAATCTAAGGGCAGAGCGTTTTAAAAGCCTGGAGAGACAACAACACAGATTCTCAAACTGGAAGGGTAAAGCAAAATTAAAACAGGAGAAATTATGTATGGATCCTATCATAGTTGATCAAAAACTAGTTGAGATATGGTTTGACTTTTGATAGTTTCAAAGACTAATTACACAGAACAAGGTACCTGCCAAATTGTTCTTATGGACAGAGTCAATACGTAGAGAAACATGTTATGAAAGCAGCAAGGCACTCCAAAGTAGAGCTCATATTATGTTAGTCTAATCCCAAGATACTTTCATTGCAGAAGAGCATCTCCTAAGTTGTTTACCAGGAATGGAAAGTTTTGGGAGGTGGATTTTGGTCTAATAGTTCTTCCAATTTAATTCTAAATGAAATAGAAGCAAATAAAACTATACTTATGGCAATACACATATTGAATTGGGTAGAATCTCAGAACTTGGCAACACGTTCCATTCACCTAAGTAAATTACTTGTAGAAATTGGGAAGACTGATTAAGGTTATAGAAGATGATAGCATAATGTGAAAGAAAACTCATGTCTCTTCATTCTGAAGCTAAGGTTCTTACTCTCCTTCATGTTTTTGTGACAGTAGTATGTCTACTAAACATTGTTACACTGTATAGTCCATTGATCTTTTTTTTTTTTTTTCAATAAAGTATACGGAACCCTGGAAGTGTGAGGTTGGATCTTTCTGTCAAAAGAGTAAACTATAAACACATCCATGACATACACACACATTCATATTTGGAAGCAAGCTTCATTTATGAAAGATCCATAAGTAATTTACAACAAAGTCTTGTCTTATAAGTTAGAAAAGCTGTTTAGTTGAGAAGTACTTTCCTTGGTCAACTGTGGAATAATGGTTTCTTTGTGTTTATTTATCCCTTGTAAATGACCACCTAAAGCAATTTCAATGAAAATTCTAGATTCAAGTACCTAAGTATTAAGCCAGTTTTCTAATAGTGGAATTTTTTACAGATATATTTTAGTGTGTGATTTTGAAAAATGCCTGTATTTAGTTGCTAATAATAGTTGTTAATCTAATAAAGTGACACTTCTTATGGCATATAATTAAAAATATTTTAATATTCTAAATCATAGTCAAATGCCAGCCCCAAGGAGTTCTGTGTAGTGTAAAGATCTCAGGATGTGGTGTAAGAATATTTGGGCTTAAAGGTGCCTTAAATGTTGGATGATCTAGTTATTTCATCTTTCATATTCTCCATTTGTTTATAAAAACACTACATTTCAATTTTATAATATTGTAGTAACCATTTAAGAACAAATGTTTCATATCAATTTAGATAGAGTACAATTACTTTTTAGAATAACTGGTAACTTGTACCATATAGAAGAATAAACTCAATGTAATTTTAAATACTATGAATATCAGATGTGTATCAAAAGAGTACTGGCAAGTATTTTTTTTTCTATTTTATTTTCTGTACCCATCTAGTTACCCATAGGCTATAAGCTTTCTGAATGCAAATTCTTATATATACAAGCACCTTATATACTCTGTAATCAGGAAGGAAAACATTTCAATTGCTATGAAACAAGTGAGGTTCTGATGAAATGCTGTCTCTTTCCTGGTTTCATTTGAAATGGTTGAAAGAGTATCAAAATTGAATTTAGAATAATGTAGATCTGAATACTGACTGTCTCTAATATTGGGCAGATTATTTAACAGTTTTGAATTTCAATTTTCATCATCTGTAAAGTAATAATTATATTAATAATATGTATAGAGAGGTGCAGAGGCACTAATAGCATATATATAGAAGAAATTGCATGTTTGATAGAAGTTAATCAGAAACTCAGTGAGGAAACTGATATTATAGTGACTTGATTTCCATCTCCAATGCTGTGTTGAGTGAAAGTCACTCAGTTATGTTTGACTCTTTGCTATCCCATGGACTGTAGCCTGCCAGGCTCCTCTGTCCTTGGAATTCTCTAGTCAAGAATAATGGTGTGGGTAGCCAGTCCCTTCCTCAGGGAATATTCCCAGCCCAGGGATTGAACCCAGGTATCCTGCATTGCAGGCAGATTTTTACTATCTGAGTCACCAGGGATAAGCTTCCCTAAATCTTTCAGAGAATGAGGCAATAACCACTGGGGCTATTTCTTGCTGAAATGGGGCATGCATATGTGTTCAGTCCTGTCCAGTGCTTTGCAGTTCCATGGACAGTAACCCACCAGGCTCCTCTGTCCATGGGATTCTTCAGGCAAGAATACTGAAGTGGGTTTCTGTTTCCTTCTCCAAGGAGTCTTCCTGACCCAGAAATCAAACCCAAATGTGATCAAACTCTCACATCTCCAGAACTGGTAGATAGATTATTTACCACTGAGCCACCTGGGAAGGAAATGGGACATAGTCCTGCCTCAAATTAGGAAATAAAAAGCCTCACACAAATAGATCAAGAATTCAAGTGATTGACAAAGTCTATAGAGTGAAATTTATGTTCTGTACATTGTGCAAGAAACTAAGAATACAAATGCAATTAACTAATTTTTCCTGACTTCAGAGAGATTGCAGACCAATAAACATAGACAATTAACAGAAGGCTTCATCTCCTCACTTAAAATAACTACACAAATTCAAAAATTAAGCTTCTTGTTTCATTTCAGTTGCTAAAACAGAATACCATAAACTGGATTGTTTAAACAATAAACATTTATTTTTCACAGGTTTGGAATCTCAAAAGTTCAAGATTAAGGTGTTGGCAGGTTCCATGTTTGGCAAGATTCCTTCTCTAGTTGATAGACGGCCATCTTTTTCCTGTGTCCTCTATGGCTGATGATCAAGTGAGCTCTTGGGGTCTCTTTATAAGGATGTTAAACCCATAGCCTTGTGTGTGTGTGTTCAGTCACCTTAGTCCCTCATGAATCCACAGTGAATAAGGAAGGCAAAATAGTAAGTTTTTTCACCACACGCTTCCAATAATTTTGAGGCAGGTAATGTTCCCTTTAAAGCCTGATGCAGAGATAGACAGAAGATTGCATGAATGATGCTTCTGTGAAATAAAACAATATATTCTGGCCTCTTTATTTCTTAGGAATAAGTATTTCATTAGCAAGGGAGATAAAATGGCATATATTGTCAGCATATTTCTTAAAAATTATATCACCCAAAAAGCCTGGTATTAAGCTCTGTAGCCCATGGATTATGGAGTATGCTAAATTGACAAATGATAGGCAGAGCCTGGATCTCCATAAAAGGTTATGGAATACCATAAGCAAGGAAGGAGGTAGGGATATTGAAAAATAGCAGATATTTTACCAGGTGTTCTATATTACCTGGGAAAATTAATGGATCATCTTTATGATAATGAAACTCCAAAACAATCTAGTACAATTGAGACAATTCCATTATAAAAATGAGTAAGATATGGTGGTTTTTTCATATGTACATCCTGTTAATTCAGATTATTTTTATAAATTTAGCCTCCCTATGAAGATATTTGCAACTCTGAAGCATCATTCTACTTCAACATTTACATTCTAAGCAATATTAGCACAATAATATATGCTTCTTGCAGAAACAAAAGCAAGATAAATATTTCAAATATAAATATGGGTTATATTGTGTGGAGAGAAATGTACAGTAATTTATTTCATATTACTAATAGTTTTCTGAAATTTTTAATGAGTCCTATTAATTCTGAAATTATTTTTAAAAAAACAAGAAAATCTTTCAATAACTTAAGTAAATGTATAATATTAACTATAGCTTAACTCTTATATAGCACATAAAGCTCTACTTCAAAATAGAGATTTTAGATCCCAGAATGATACATACTTTCATAAGAAAATGTGAAAATGAAAAACATATTTCAAAGAATATATATACTTGAACTACAGAATTATAAAAATCTTGATAATATATTTATTCATCAGAAGTATTCATATAATAGATGATTTCATCATGTCCAAATTAATAAAATATGAAGGGAAATTTAATACCCTTAAAGATCACACAAGGCATTCCTAAAAAGAGAAATTCTTTATTGAAAATGAGGCATACATTTCCCAGCTGTCTCATTTTCTTTCTTTGGTCCAGAGCTTTTTGATTGCATATTTCATCTCACTATTTCTCAGAGTATAAATTAGAGGGTTCAACATAGGGGTGATAATAGTGTAAAACACAGTCAAAGATTTATCAATGGGTAAGGTGGAAGGAGGTCTCACATAAAGAAAAATACAGGGTACAAAGAAGAGGAGCACCACGGTGATGTGGGAGCCACAGGTGGATAAGGCTTTGCGCCTGCCTTCCTGACTAACGTTCTTCAGAGAGCGCAGAATGACCCCATAGGAGATGAGTAAGAGCGTAAAGATGATCACAGATATTGTGCCATCATTGGCCAACACTGTGAGGGCAATGATATGAGTGTCAGTGCAGGCAAGTTTTAACAGCGGGTACACGTCGCAGATGAAACGGTCAATGACATTGGGGCCACAGAAGGGAAGGTTGTAAACAAATAGAGGATGAAATATACCATGTAAAAAGCCACCAACCCAGACCAACAGAAGTAGCAGAACACACACTCACTGATTCATGATTGTCAAATAGTGCAAGGGCTTGCAGATGGCCACGTAATGGTCATAGGCCATGACCGCCAGAAGGCATATATCGGCACCACCAAAAAAGCGCCATGTAAAAAGCTGGGTCATGCAAGCTTGGAAGGAAATAGTTTTCTTTTTAGACAGTAAGTCCTTAATCATATCTGGGGTGACTGTAGTAGAATAAACAGAATCTATAAATGATAGGTAGCCAAGAAAGAAGTACATAGGGGCATCCAGGGTTGGGCTGACCATCACAGTCCCAATAATGAGTAGGTTGCCCACTATGGTCACAACGTATGTAAGCAAGAACAAGACAAATAATATTTTATGACCCTGAACGCTCTGAGTGAGCCCCAAGAGGACGAACTCAGTTACATTGTTCTTCTGTTCCATAAGTCCTTATGTACGTCTTATGTTCCAGATAAAAGTACCTGTAAATAGAATTATTATGAGAAACTTTCTGAAATCTTAAGATAATTTTTTCATTCATTCATTCAGTCAGCAGGTCATATGGTTATTATGCTTTGGTATTTTCAGAGAACATAATTCAAGGCTGATTAAAACATCATCCTTAACCTCAAAAATCTTACAGACTAATGGAGAAGTATTTAAGAGACATATGTGGGAAAAGGACATATTTTTTAGGTAAATGAGGTGCCACAATTACCTTTCCAACTGAAAACTAACAAAATTCTATGCATAGTTAATATGTTATACAAAGCTGAATATTGATCAAAGTTTTAATAATGAAATAAAGCAAGATTTTCCTTATTTTACTTTTCATTTATTAAGGTGATGACTGTCTATTATAGTGGTGGGAGGATCTTCTAAATCAATTATTGAAATTGCAAGTAGATATATTTAACAGTTTCATCTTATTCAAGGAGTCAGGAAAAGAAAACACAACATCAATTAAGAAAAGTATAATAATTCACAGAAAGATTTACATTTTAGAGGATATGCACAGAATTAGTATCTGTAAACAGTGAACAAAGAAAAATATAAAATGAGTAAAAATATAAATAATTAAAGAAAAAATAAATGATAAAAAAATATGTGATAAGGTGCTATAGCCCACCCGTGTACAGATACTTAGGAATTTTGCCTACAGCCTTACCTACACCATACATTATGATTTTTGAATATGTTAACCAAACAATAAAGCAAAAAAAAAAAAGAAAAAAACTCATTCTGTTTTTCATTCATTCAATCATTGATTCATAGTATTCTAATGATGGTATACATGATAAATGCATTATTTGTATCCAAATAAAATTAAATTAACTGCAATGCAATGTCTATATAGAGATACATAGTTTATAAACATATCCAAATAAAATTAATGAAAATAATAAATCATTTAGTAAATACTGTCTACCAGGTTCCAGACACTTTGTTAATACTTTACACATGCTTTCTCATTTAATCCTCAAATTAGTTATGAAGACACATTTTATGACTGAGATAAAGCAAATTATAACTTGCTTAACAGTACACTGTTTGTTGTCATAAAGCCTAGATTTGAATCCAAGAAGACTATTTTACAGCTGTATATGATTCTTATGTCTGAATTTCTCATGGAGCTAAATTATTTATTCAATAAAATCCTAGATAACAGCAAGTGATAGCAGTATATTTAGGGGGAGCCTCTGGGTAGTCATTTTTAAAGGGAAATAGCACCCTGTGTTCCTCAGAAGATCTGTGCCCTGAGCATAGGTGTCGTCAACAGACTATGTCTAATGTAGGACTTTAAAAAGGTTATTTCTAACAGTAAGTCTTCAAAATTTATTTGCTTTCCTTGAAAGATGAGTAGAGATGGAATTATCTGCTGTATCTCTTTCTCTGGTTGAAAATTTCTATCCCATTGTAAATATGAAAATTATTGCTTTCTTGGAATGCTTCCAGAGAGAAGGGGTCAATACCTTAACAAACTGTCCTGGTTTCACCACCTCATCTCTGAGAAAATTATCAGCATCACCCTTAGCACAAACACCAGCACCACCCCTGTGCCCAGAGCTGCTCAGAAACAAATGGACTTGTATGCATATATATATATATATATACTTACTGATTCTGTGTGTGTATGTGTGTGTAATCAAACTTATTGCTTTCATTAAATAATTAGAATCATTAACTCATCAAAACAGAAAGAAAAGCACCACATAAATTCTTTCTCAAAGATGATTGGCAGTAGAAAAATAATGTTAAAGGAAATTAGTAGAACAGGAAAGCAGAAATATATATATGTATATATATTACATACACACACAGAGAGAAAAACGCATAACAGAAGGGAAATAAAAATTATCTCTAAGACTCTCCTTATACATATTAGATACTCCTGTACCTCCTTTTTCTAAGATGTGTCCCTGAAACTTAAACACACTCATTTATTCCTTTATCTCATGACCTGAATAGAGATCAAAATGTAGATACTTATGTTTTGGTAATTTGCCAAAATAGGTTAAAGTAAACGAAGCTAAAAATTGTTAATAACTCTGGAGTCTTCATCCTGAGGCTGTAATTTGTTTATACAGACAAACTACAGGTGAATCACTGACACATTTCAAATATTATTGTTCCTATATATAAATGATCCAATTATCTCAATGATATCAAAATAGTAGTTTAAATTAATAAGACCATGTTTAATACTCAAATAAATTGTTAACAATCACCTCAAACAGTCTTATTTCCCTCTCTGACCTCTAAAACCCAGTTACCTAATGGTTCCTGCATGTAGAAGTCAAAGATTGTTCAAGTGAAAATTTTAGGATCATGTCAGGGTAACCTAAAGTATGGCTCCATCCAGCATGTACTGATGAAAACTTCACTCTATGAAAGAGCTGGAAATCATGACACATTAGAGATTCAGCTTTGCAAATCTAAGCTTTAGTCAAGTAAATTAGGATCACATTAAGAGCAAAACAATAAGGATTTATTTTGATAGGGTCAAAATTTCTAAGGATTTAAAATTATATTTATTTACATGGATATTCTGAATGTCTAAGCATTTATGTAGGATACAAACCTTTGGGTAGCCAAGAAATTCAAGTTTCATCTCAATAGAAAAGGTTTTCAAAAAGACCATCAAGTAAGCTGTTTACAAAATGATGGAACTATGCCTGTCACTTACCTATATTTGAGTCTTATTTGTAAACAGTTTGCACTCCACACCTTAAGAAACACATCATTATTGAAATGTTCTCCTTTGGGGAATAGACCGGGCTGAAAGAGTACAGAGTGCCATTTTCAAATGGCACAGGATTTCAAAACATGTAGACTTGCATCATTTCAACTGCATCCCTCTGAGGCTGTGTCTCTACTGACTGAGGCACTAATCACTATACCAGTGAATTTCCATCCATCCCTGCAATGATCCACTTTTTACAGAAGCATAGCTTCATTGAAATCTGGTCAAGCTTACTCTCTGCAGACAGATACTCAGATTGTGGTATTACACATTCAGTTATTTGTTCAACAAATAAACTGTTTTCTTGCTTAGAGGAATGGCCATGTGATGCTTCACTGTGTGATGATACAGATGAAGAAACATCAGTAGAACTTCCTGGTCAACTAGCTAGTACCAGGACTGAATTCTTCTATCACCTAATCTGGTGACTACTACTCTTTCAAGACCATTATTACAAAAATGTCGTATCAAGCTGCAAGACTGTTGCCATTATAACTGATTTGAAAACATTCCTGAGCTAGAAAATAGAACTAAATTCTCTCTCAATGCATGATGATTAGTGTTATCAAGTGACATGCGTTCAATTTAGAAATACTTAAGAGTTATAGCTTTCATTCTTTTCCTAACTTCAGTTGTCAGAAATATCAGTTTGAAACACCCTTTAAAGATTACAACTGGCTCATTAGCATAGCTGACCACACAGTCTGGGAAGACTCCTGAGAAGGAAACATCTCTCAGTTTTACTGATGTGATCTTCACAGGTGATAGGCCAATGTCTGTGCTTGGATGACCTTAACTAACAGTCTAGTTACTCTATGCTTTTGCCTAACAATTTAGACATGAATTAAGGCAGTATTCCTCAATCTTTTTTTCATTATTGCCACATGGAGATTTTTTGGACATTCTGTCCCCTTGACCGTCAGTCCTTCAAAAGTAGTAATACCAAAGATATATTACCCATTTATGTGTGGTTGCTATGTGTAAAAACAGTAAGTAATCTTTATCCTCACATAAACTATTTTTATTGGGAGACATATTGTCCCCATTCCTAATGAATGTTTTTAAATAGCATAAAACTTTTTAGTTTTAGTTTTATTTTATAGTTTTAAAAAGGAAAAGACTTAATGTGGATATTTAAGCTCAGACCAAACTGAAATTCTTGCTGTGCTTCAGCTACACAAATCTCTATCCAATTCTTCTCGCCTGTACCATGCCTTATAAAATGTCTCTCATAGCACTCATTACTAACAAAACTATATTTTTAGTTTAGTTGCTTACTTGTTTATTATCCATATATTTCCCCACTTATGAGGAGCACAGTTCTTGTCTCTATTGTTCAGTCTTATGTACCCAGCTCCCATAACTGTTTGGCCCACTGTATGCACCGACCTGTATTTCATGATAAATTCAATAAGTGAAAATCTCCTAAATTTAATTTACCATGGATTCATATGTTTTTGTCAGTAATTAATGTTACCACTATGTGACAACAATGGAAAATGCCTATGGAAAGAGGATCTATTCAGTTCTTCAAGGTGCTCCCCTCTTGCCCAAAATATCAATCTCCTCAATGATTGGGTTGCTCTGTTTTTCCTCTAAATGTGTTTTCTACCCAAAGTTCATTTTCTTTGAAATTCAACCATGTCTGTTTTTGTTGTTGTTGTTGTTGGAGGCTAATTGCTTTACAATATTGTAGTGAGTTTTGCCATACATTGAAATGAATCAGCCATGGATCCAAATGTGTTCCCCATCCCGATCCCCCCCCTCCCGCCTCCCTCCCCATCCCATCCCTCTGGGTCTTCCCAGTGCACCAGCCCTAAGTACTTGTCTCATGCATCCAACCTGGGCTGGTGATCTGTTTCACCCTTGATAGTATACTTGTTTCAATGCTATTCTCTCAGAACATCCCACCCTCTCCTTCTCCCACAGAGTCCAAAAGTCTGTTCTGTACATCTGTGTCTCTTTGTCTGTTTTCGGTTTCTGTTATCGTTACCATCTTTCTAAATTCCATATATATGTGTTAGTATACTGTATTGGTCTTTATCTTTCTGGCTTACTTCACTCTGTATAATGGGCTCCAGTTTCATCCATCTCATTAGAACTGATTCAAATGAATTCTTTTTAATGGCTGAGTAATATTCCATAGTGTATATGTACCACACATTTCTTATCCATTCATCTGCTGATGGGCATCTAGGTT